TAATTATTTCGAACGAAACAGAGTGATTTTTTATGGTTAATTATGTCATACATTTTGCACTGGGACAGAAATACTACTCTGACATTAATATTTCAACAAATCCGCTAAAAATACATTATTAATTTCTTCCCTGTCTCATTTTCCTCCTTCTACAAATCCCTTTCTGTACACATTTTTTTTTTCAGGGAGCTGAGAAAATAGAGTCTCGATTTTGTTTGTGTGTGGTTTGTATTTTACTTTTATGCTTGTTTTACTTTGAAATACTCCTTCCGGGACTTTTTTTTTATGTCTGCAAATAAAACTGCTCGCATATATTACTCCACCACACAAGCCGGACATAATAATTTTCCCGCGACTATTTTAAAATATTTTGAATAACGCGGGAGATATAAATAATAATTTTCTTCGAACAGTGCGCCTGGGCGGACAGCAATGGATCCACATGTCGTGCAGCAATGGATCACTTTGCTTAATTATTTTCATTGGTGATGCACACACTTATAAGACAAGCTGGGGATATGTTTTAGAATGCTGGCGGCAGTTTGGTGAGAGGGGAATATGTAATACAACAGCAATTTGTACTTCAAAATGCATGTGCCAACAGGTTTTGGACGATAAATGATGGTAATAAATAATGTGAACCCACACCCTGCGCTCGGCTCTCCCGCACGGTGCGCGGTCGCGCCGGGGGGGATGCGCGGATGGGCGCGCGGAGGCGGCTACAGGACCGAGTAGGCTGGCACCAAGGTCCCACGCACACGGCGTGTTTCGCGAATGAGACCCCGTCCCCTTGTTCGTGCCCCCAAAGGAAGTTCGTCCAGCCGTTCCAAGTGGACCAAATCCGCAGCCCTCAGCGCAGTCCGGCCACGCAGACACTAACTCCGGGCCTGCCGACCTTCACCGTGGCCTCGGTCCTTTCGCCTTCGCGAGAGGCGCCCTGGCGCTCATGTGGAGCTGCTGGCCTTCCCTTACCTGGCGGCAGCCGGGCCTCCATGCAGGGCTCCCTTGCTAGGCGGGATGGAAGCAGGGCAGAGGGGCTGTGGGCGGCCGTATCGGCCCTCCCGGGTCCAGCGATGGGGCTGTGCCGCGGACCCGATCCTGCCGCCAGCGCGGGGCTCTGGGACGAACCAGGACGTATGCGGGAGTCTGCGGAGACCTCGGAGCTGCCTCGCATGGGAGCCGGGGTCCGATCCAAAATGTTATCTTACCCTCTGGCTAGCGCAAGCCAAGCGCTCCCCTCGTTTTTTTTTTTTTTTTTCCTTACACTGTGAAATATATATGCGTCGCAGCTATTTGAACAGTAGTGGGAATTCAAATTCGCTAATCCACGCTATGTCTAGAAACGCTTACCAGATCTGAATGGTAAGCAGCTCAGTATGAAAGCGTTACCTTTCAACTCTAGCTCCGATTAAAAGCTACCTTTCATTTTTTATTTTTTCCTTTACTTAAGTCGGCCATATTCCCGTTCAGGGTTTCTCGCCAAGCGGCCTTCTGTTGCATCGCTCTAGGGCACGGTGTGAAAACAGAAGACACTTCTTATGACACACTGAAACCGTCAACCTTGGACTGCCGCTAATGAAACGCTGCTCGAATCGTGCCACTCACTCACACCTCCGACCTGAAATGAGTGTAATTGGCGGCGTGTCTCATACGATAATTATCCAGGTTGCAAAATATAACGGAATATATAGCTATATTCACCCAGAACAGGATAACTGTGGTTCAAAAGTGACTTTCTCTCTCCAAGCAAATGAGCTCCTCCAGGAGCAGGCTTTGTCCTGAGCTGGGGAGAAGGCGCCTGGCAGCGAGGCAGAGTTCGAGATTGCTGCCTGCGGGCAGCACGTTCAGGCCAGGCAGCCAGGGCTGCCGAAGGAACGAGGCCGCAGCCCCAGGCCTGCTCGTGGAGCTCGGCCCCTTCCCCTCGGGCCGATTCTCTCAGGAGAGCAAACCCCTGCGGCTCCACTACCTCAGCGCGGTATTTTTCTACTAGTCTGAAAATGCCCTTTAAAGCCTGGATAGGCCACAGAGGCAGTGGACTACCAGAGGCAAGGGAGGACCCGCCGGGCTTCCCTCACCCTTGGCGGCCCAAGCTGGTCGTCCCATCCTGGCCAGCTTTTTTTGGGATCCTCTGGGCTTGGTCTTGGCTCCCTCCGCCATGGGAGCTGCTTTCCGTCCCCCCACAGGGCAAAGCCCCACTGCAAGGTCTCATCCCCGGCCATCACATATACACCTATCAAACATAATTTTCATAGCAAAACTCGGGACATCTGACCCAGAAAGCCCCAGCTTTCCCGAAGGGATGCCACAGATATTGCCACGCTCAGCAGCTGCGGGTCACTCTTGCTCCGCTTGCAAAACCCCGTGCTCAGCAGACCTGAGACCCCCTAACTCCCGCCAGTGGGAACCCGCGGAATGTCCGGCCTGCGTACTGTGCCGCGGAGCTCCCGGAAAATCCGCGCCTGTTCGGAAACCCTGGAATGAGTGAAAAAGCCCCAGATAAGGCAGCTTCCGGGAAACCAGATAGCTCTCCTACAGGTACTTTTCATGTAAATTATTGCATAAATGCGTTACAGTTAGCTCTGAGCTCCCTGCGCTGATCCGCACAGAGGTGGCTCCCTTTGAATTTCAGAAATGTAAGGCTAGAAATCCACAACTAGCGCAGTATATCTGATACTTCTTAAATTTACCGTAAAGGCCCCCAATAACCCTAATTACAGCCGCAGACCACCGCGGCAGAGAGGGGGTGGAGGGCTGTGTGTGCGGAGGATTAGAACAAAACCTCACTTCGTGTCCAGCGAAACTCACTGCCTGCCCGCACCACCAGGCCTCAAACCGAGATCCCGCACGAGGCCGCGGCCGCACCAAAGGATTTGCGCGAGAAATCGGACTCACCGACCCGCGGCCGGGGAAGGAAAGCGCGGCAGGACCTGCCCAGCGAGCCTCCCGCACTTCTCTAAGCCCGAGATGGTACGGATATATATGCACGCACCCTACTGTCTATATAGTCATGTATATACGCGTATATCTGAAGCGCACATGTCTGTAGGGATGTTTGCGCGGGCGCGCAGGTGCAGCGCGCACGGGCGATCAGCGCTGCAGCGCGGCCCGCCGCGGCCGCGAGGTGGCGCCCTCGGGTCCCCCCCGCTC